ACAGGCATGCGCTACCACACCTGACTAATTTTTTTTTTTTTTTTTAATTGTAGAGATGAGGTCTCACCAAATTGCCCAGGCGGGGCTTGAACCCGTGGGCACAGGCAATCCACTCACCTCAGCCTCCCAAGGCGCAGGATTACAGGCTGAACCACCAAGCCCGGCTCTTTCTCTGTCTTTTAAGTATAAGTTCTGTACTTGAAGAATGAATACATTTTACTCTATTTGAGATGTTAAAATAAGCCAAGCCTTTTTTTTTTTTTGAGTTGGAGTCTCACTCTGTCACTCAGGCTAGAGTGCAATGGCACATTCATGGCCACCCCAGCATCGACCTGCTGGGCTCTAGTGATCCTTCCGCCTCAAGCCTTCGAAGTAGCCAGAACCATAGGTGCACGCCACCACGCTCGACTGACTTTTTGATTTATTGTAGAGGTGAGGTCTTGCCAGATTGCCCAGGCTGTTCTCAAACCTGCAGATTTAGGCAATCCCCTTACCTCGGCCTCCCAAAGTGCTGGAATTACAGGTGTGAGCCACCGCGCCTGGCCTAGCCTTTCTATTTTATTATTATTGTTTTTTTTTTTTTTGAGTTGGAGTCTCACTCTGTCGCCCAGATGAGTGCAGTGGCACGCTTCCGACCACCGCAGTCTTCACCTGCTGGGCTCTAGCAATCCTTCCGCCTCAGCCTTCCAAGTAGCTGGAACTATAGGCATGTGCTATCATGTCCGGCTAATTTTTTGATTTATTGTAGAGGTGAGGTCTTGCCAAGTTGCCCGGGCAGGTCTCGAATCCGTGGGCTCAGGCAGTTCACTCATCTTGGCCTCCCAAAGCACAAGATTACAGGCTGAGCCACTGAGCCTGGCCTCTCTTTTATTATTATTATTTTCATCTGAGTTGGAGTCTCATTCTGTCACCTAGACTGGAATGCAGTGGCATGCTTACAGCCACCCCAGCGTCAACCTGCTGGACTCCAACAATCCTTCCACCTCAGCCTTCCAAGTAACCAGAACTGCAGGCATGCACTACCACGCTGGCCAATTTTTTGATTGATTGTAGAGATGAGGTCTTACCATGTTGCCCAGACTGGTCTTGAACTTGCGAGCTCAGGCAGTCCTCTTGCCTACGCCTGCCAAAGTGCTGTGATTACAGGTTTGAGCCGCCTTGCTTGGCTAGCCTTTCTATCTTAAGAAATTATTGATGCACGTTTCAGAAAGGGAAAGCTAAGCAGAATTTGTTTTTCTTCTTTGTTTTTTTTTTTTTTTGAGTTGGAGTCTCACTCTGTTGCCCAGACTGGAGTGCAGTGGTTGCTCCCGGCCACCGCAGCCTCGACCTGCTGGGCTCCGGTGAT